CTTCCTTGCGTACGGATGACAGCTGCGTATGACTTAATTTATTTTCTGGTGCTTTCACTTTCAGAGACAGTTGTAAGCACTGTTTAACTGCCTCGAAGGTGGCTGACCATTTTAGCACAACGTGGTGCAATCATCCCCTTTGCGCGGAGTGAGGGTTCTCGACCCCGCACAACATGATCTCCTCGACCACCATTATGGTTACGGCCAAAATAAAAGCAGAGGTAAAAAAAAAAAGGTAGCCTGGTTGCCGAGCTCACGAAGTGAATTGGCTTGTTTTACAACGTCGTTGCCAAGCGACGAAAACCCAACCCCGATGGCAAATACCGGGGGGAGGGGGGGGGGCCTATGTGTCCCGAATTTTTTTCCACGTGTACCCTTGGCCCTCTCAAAAACCAAGTCGCGCACCCGCTATCTGCTGGGTTAGTATTCGCAAGGCCCAAAATGTGTTGTTCTAGGGTTTCTTCGCCGTTGATGAAATCTAGAGCCCTGCACTCGGCCTCGATGCGTGAGCGAACACAGAATACACATCCTCCCCGAAGTCGTCGCATGAAGTACTCTTGTGTTTGGACGAAACATGCCGTCTAAGCACTACCGCTAGCGCCACTCCTCCCGCCACCCACCCGCACCCTCGCCCCGGAGATTTCCCTCTTCGGTAAGGTATTCCGTGCCGCTGGTGTCGACGATGGCTGCAATTCCCACCATCTACATTGGGCCCATGTACCCGCAGTTGTAGTGTGGTCTTCGGGTGGTCTACGAACTTGGGCAACCCTTGACCCATCCCAGGGAAGGGCACTCCAGAGCTATGATGGTGATGCTCAAGGGACTCAACATTTCCACCGAGTCCTGTTTTCGCCTCCCCCGTTCCGACGGTGCCGTACCTGAAGTCCGAACCCTTACCATAGCTGGCCCAGTCTTCGTCGCTCCCGTCACTTTTCTATCGATCCTCTGCTTTTCCCTCGTTCTCTGCGCGCTCCGTTTCTATCGCCGCCGCCGTGGATGACGGCCGCTTTCCCTGCCTTGGGTTCTTTGTAGCAGCCAAGGTCACCACCAGAATGTTGCCCCCTTCTCCGGCTTGCCCTAAGGTGTGCACCGCCACGACCGCCGCTGGTGCCGAGAGTTTCTTGCCGGAGACTACCACGGGGGCTTTCGCCATGATTTTCGTTGCTCTCCTGTTGTTGCTGCTGCTGCTGCCGTCCCCGCGCCACGGAGGCCAAGGATACATCCCCTGGAAGCCCGCCCGTAGCTTTGGTCATCCCTCGGCTTGTCCCTGCCGTCGTGTCTTGCCGCCTTCTGGCAAATGGCCGCCTGTTACGTTGCTGCTGTTGCTGACTACGACGAGGGTGCTGATGTTGCTGAAATCGACTGGGCTGGGTTTGCGGGTCAAGAAGCGGAGGCGGGGGGACCCATGCCACCACTGGGGTTTCCAGGTCTCGCCGGTACAGTCTGAAACAAGAAAGGTCGGCGGGGTGGCGAGGGTGCGTCAGTTGGGCATGAGTCACGAAATAGAAAGGCGTGTTGCGCGATCTACACCATTGCAACAGCTAGATGTTGATTTGCAGAATAGTTATGTACCTTCGACGCTGTTCGTAGAAGAACTGAAGTATGGTGCTTAAGTCGCTTTCGAAAGGTTTGAACACGTCCACGCCTGACATTGTCATTCGGCACACGCACTGCACCATTTGGGAGGATACGTGATCTTCATCGTCATGTTGTCACAAGGCCACTGGATGGATAACAAGCCGATTGTCTCAAAACCATTGTATTGTGAGGCCTGGCTCTTCACAAACGATTTAGATCTTTCCCTCACCTGTCAACCCTTCCGCCGCGGCCCTCGCTCTCCCACGGTCCAGCCTCGTCGCATCCCAGACGGCGCGACACGTCGAGTTCCTCGCGTAACAACAACGCCAGCTCGTGGGGCATCGCCGCCACCGCCAACCGCTCGCCTCTCCCCCCTCTCGCTCGGCTTCTGGGCCCCACGTGTTCGCCCTCTGTCTTCGGCCCTCGGCTATTTTCAGGGTCGTCGCCCCCTGAGATAGCGCTATTGAAACCGCTTACTTCAGCCGCCCCCGGCGCAGCTCTAGAGGATAGAGTCCGTTCCACGCGACACCCGCGGGCCGCTCGAGGAGACGCCAGCGCTCCTGGTTTCGAAGGTGTGGTGAACGTGGGGTTATGCTGATCCAGCGTTTCAAGAGAAGGAAGTCTCGGTGGAAAAAACGAAGGAGGAAGAAATGCGGGTGCACGAAACGCGGCAAACACAAACATCCGCAACCTTAATCGCTCGGGATCGTCCCACAACAAAGAACAAACATTAAACCCCATGGCCGTAGGGTCCAAGAACCCGAATCCCTCCACCAAGGCGGATAGTAACGTTCAAAACTTGTTCCATGGCACAGAAACGGTTATTAGGCTGAGTCTCACCCCATAATAGCTGATTGCTGCCCCCGGCAAGACGGCGCCGATGCTCCGCCACGGCTGTAGTCCTCGCCCCCGCCGTCACGACCGCGCCCGGCAGCACTAGCGTCGCTACCGCCGCCGGCGGCGGAGGCACCTTCAGCGGCCTCTGGTTCGCCCACAGCCGCCGGCGCGCCTCTCCCGTTAGAGGGTCGCGCGCCCTGGCCCCCGGCCGAACGAAGTCCATGGGCTGCCGCCCGGAGTGCCGCTTCTCTTGCTCCGCCGCCGCGAAGGTGACGCTGCTGACGGCGCCGCTACTCTCGCAGCCGCCGCCTCCGCCGCCAGATGACAGACAAAGCCCGTTTCGGGGGGTATCTTCCTGAACGAGGAGGTCGACCCGGAGAGGCTCGCACCAGGGGCCCTTACCCCCGGGGCCTTCTGCCCTCACGCGGTAATCCGCGAGGACGTGCGGCACGCCTAGGGTCGCCGGATCAAGACAGCCTATCTCCGGGCAGGAGGACACGTCTTGCCAAGGGTGTGCAGGGGTGGGTGGGGGGTGGGGGTGGTTCGCGTCCCGGGTAACCTGGTCTTCGGGGGAGGAAGGCCGAAGACGACGCGCCTGTGTTTGTTATTGAAGGGGTTGGGGTTGGGTAGTGTACTGGGATGTCGCGCTTGCTGGCAGGGCTTTGAAGACAGCCGTTGCCGCTAATCCTGCAGCTCTTTACAAGTACAGGCCTGTGCACGATCTCGAAAGGCCCTCACGCCCAACTCGAAAACTAGCCTCTGTGTGGTAGTGATGGAGTACACCATCAGCGTGACCTTGTGACAGCACCATCTCCGGGAAGAGCCTCTCGGGAGTGGTACGGTACGGCGCGGTAGGCACGTCAAGGGCCGTCCTTCGTGGATGTTCCACGCAAAACAAATCGATCGAACCTGGACAGTGAAAGACGTGACGACGTTTATTCCGTGGCCAGGGTGAAAGGCGTCCCAAAACAGCCGCACGCATCTGCTGATGTTGCCCGCCCTGCTTTCGTGAGTTGTAAGGCATGCTCGGAGTCCCTGCCACCAGTCAGGGCACGAGAAACGCACGTAAATGAGGAGCCAGTTAGCACCTAGACGGCAGAAGCGCTCCGAGAAGTATGAATGTATGAGGCTGCAACGAACCGCGATTGGCACAGCCCAAGAGCTACACGAAAATATTGCCACTGGTCCACCAGGCAGCCTCTCTATGTGTTAGTGAAGTTGCGACAAAATGTGTTCGGTAACGGTCCTTGCCCGCGTCCCCCCCTTTAAATAGCTCCAAGCGGGGGGTTCTAGAAAACATCGGTTTGGGTCCGACAGCGAATCAAAAGAGTAGCAGCATGAACGCACCACCCCGCTCCAGATCCCTTCCCTCGAGACCACTAGACGTCGTCGCCATCACCCCCTTCGCTACCCCCCTCACCTTTGGGGACAAGGGTGCCACGCGCGCCGTTTCGTATACCGTCGATGCCGAGACCGCCACGCCGAAGGGGCACTCCACTCGAACGCGGAATAAAAACCGCATTCCCGGTGGCAACGGGGGTAGCTGTGCCTCTACCACCCCCTTCTCCTTCCCCGCTCCCCCCTCTTCGCCTCTCCAAACTATCTCGAACTCCTCCGCCCAACTTCTTAACCTCCCCCACGAGCTGGAGCCTAGCGTCCAGGATTGGCCGAAACCGGCGTCAGTCCTGACTGGGATGTCCCGGGTACCGCTTGAGGGGCGGACGGTGTTGGGCGAAGTCGGCGATACAGCAACCGTTGCCGTTGCCAGTGCTGCAGTCCTGGGAGAGCTAGCGTGCTGTCCGTTTTGGGCGCCCTTTGCCGCTGTTTGCCCGACACCGCGAGCCGAAAGCCCCGCCTCCGAAACATGCGCCATTTCCAGCGCGATCGACAACGGCGGCAGGTCAATTCCCGCCGGGAGATACCTCTGGTCGATGTCCGTCCTCCAGGTGGCCTTCAGAGTAACAGCGCCGAATACTTCTCCCTCAGCTTCCGCCGCCGCTGAATTGTTAGCCACTGCTATCGGCTCCATCACAGGCGCGGGTGGAGCGGTGACGACTACCGCTTGGACCTCGCTCTCCGGCTGCGAATCTGTTGCGTTCGTGCACAGCCCCACGGCGAAAGCAGTCGAAGGTGCAAGCTCGGCAAAGACGCCGGCGCCGCTCGCCGAAAGAAACTCGGGGTAACGCCCCAGGCCTAACCATTGCTGTGGTCCCGAATATACCCGTCGTCGTAGCGGCGGGTGGTCTCCATCTGTCGCGGGTTCCAACAATGTGACTGTGAACAAGGGGTGCTGCTGGGCGTAGGGGGACACAGCCGATCTATCACCCACGGCTACTGATATCGATTGCCGTCCCGGCGGGGACTCTTGAGCTTCCACTAGGGCAAGGCGGTGGCTTCCGCGGCCGCGGGCTGGCGTGGCGAATGGTGGCGCTGATGATGGGCGGACAAAGGCGGACGGTGCTGTACTGCTTTCGAGGTCAGGTTTTGGCTCGGCCCACCACAGTTTCACCTGCCACGAACGTTTGGTGGGTCTAGGGGGTTACAGTTGACCGTTGTCAATGAAGAATAAATTGAACGAGGCAGAGGGTTTCGACCCACACAACGGCACAACGACAACAGCAACAGCAGCACCACCACCACCAACAGCAACGGTGACGACGGAGACCATGCAGACGACGCCAAAATATTGAGCGGCCTGTATCCCGAGTCTCATTCTGGATACTGACTCCACAAGCATATCCTTGGCAGCACCACATCAAACTTCGTGTGTACTGGATATTCGTCTGCTAGACTACTGGGCGTAAGAATAACTACACTTCGACCAATCAACCACACCTGGGGAGACTCCCCGACCACGAAGGCTGCATATCTCGGTGCCAAAGGTGCGGTAGCAAACTCCACACAAGCCGAATACTCTCGGCATTGCCCCCCTTCTCCGGCGCCGGCGCCGATAGCGCAACACTCCCACATCGCCCCACCGCTGTGGCATTGGAGCCTCCCCCACGACAGCAGCGGCCGCTCGAGGTAGAAACCGCCACCGACGGTAGCGGAGGCATCGTGGAACGCGAAACCTTCCCGTCTCATCTTCGATGCGGCCGGGCTCGTGGCGGGGCTCCACTGCCACCGATTTCGCCCGAGGTCAGTCTTTGGGTTGCTGGCGCCGTGCCCGATAGGCCGGGTTTGGTTTGTCGCCTCCGCAGCGGACTTCAACCGAAGCGCCGGCCGTACGACGGCCGACCTTGCGGGCGAAGGGCAAGTCTGGCTCCGCTGTGTCCGTTTCGGGCACAGACTTTCACCACAAGTCGTTGGTGCTGCCGCTGCTACGGGTGCTACGGCGGTAGCGGCAAAACCGAACACGTCGGGCGACGTTGGTTCCAGCTCAAGGGATGCAAGGGGACCGAGAGATCGATGCCGTAGCTCTGTGATGTCGACATCAATGCCAAGTCTGAACCTGACAAGCGCGCTTGGCTCGAGTCCCTGTTGCGTGAGTGGTGGTACGCCAGCGTTGCGATAAACATCCACCGGCAAACGAATCGATCGTTGTAGCATAGGAAGCAAAGGAAGATGTGCGAGATGAGTCTCTACGTCAAACGTTGTCTTTTGTACCTGCGATTTGCTGGGGCATTGATATCATCAGAGCACTTGCAAATACGCCACGTGTCGCGCCGTGTACCTGGTGTGGATCCCGATGCCAAAGTCAAACTTGGCAGCAGATTCCATCCATCCACAAGATCACAGTCAATCGCTTCCTATGATATTTGGTCTACCGCGTCTCTTGCTTCTGTGCGGCCGATTTTTTCTTCGACCCCTGGCTACACAAGCTTCGGCTGTCTCACCTCCACAACGACTTCGGGAGAGGGACCTCGGTACAGTGCGACCCACCGCTTCTCTTCAACCGAGAAGCCTTCCAGTGTGTACCACACCATCGGCTGTTCGATTTTCTCCTCCCCGCCGTTAGGGTGTTGGTTTGTCGTCACGCCCACGTCCTCTGCGTTACCATGTTTCTCAGTTTTGTCCCCTGCGCTTCCAGTGGGCAGGTTCCTGGTCCCTAACCGTTGTCCGTCCATCTCCAGCGCCTCGAGGTGCTCTGCGTCGTTATCCACGCTCAAGCGATTTTCGTCTCTTGGTGTTGGCAGATGTTCGTCGCTTTTGTTGTTGTGATCAGCATGATGCTGTCGGTCCGGAGAATTCCTCCGGTCCTGGCTCTCACCTTCCGATCCAGAGCGCGCAGTATCGTCTAGGGCACGAGGGAGGGACAAGACGAGGGCCCTTGACGTCATGCCTATGCATCGCGGCGGTATAACGGAAGTCGAGTACGACACCCACATTCCGCCGACGCCTTTCCCTCCCTCGTGAATGAGGCTGAGGCGGTACCAGTACCGCATGCCCGTCTTAAGTCCGGTCGGCATGAACCAGCATCTCGTACCGACGGCGAACGCCTCTTTCAAGTCGACTTGTTTCGGCGGCGCCAGATGGCGGCGGTGGTTGTGGTGTCGGCGGTGACCTCGGGGAGACTTTTGCCGGCCGTCGAGCTCGGCCGGCACTCCCTGGTCGGTTCGAGGGCTGGTTCTATTTACAGACGGCGTCATGGTAGCGGTGGCTTGAGACCACTGCTCAAGGATGTAGGAAACTTGCTCGCCGCCAGTTAGGCCGGCCAGTGCGGGCCACGTCAAGACCAGCGCGGTGCCTATGCCGTGGAGAGTCACAGCAGGAGGACGACTGTCCACGAATACCGAGTCCGACACAAACCACACGTTCTTCCCCGCTGCTGTTGTCGCTCTGGACTCGTCTCCGAGCGGGGTGGATAGTGACACCCCTACCCCTCCTCGCTGTTGGCTTCGGCCCGAGCTTCGATAGCAAGCATGAGCATCGCCACCACCCGCAGTACTACGGGAGCCACCGCGCGCTAGGGCAGGGGAACTGCTCAAAAGCGTTACCGCTTCCGGGTCACAGCATGAAACGGTAGGTATTCTAGAATATTCGTTTCGCCGCCGCTGCCGCCGCCGGTCTGGTAACGACAGATCAGGTGAACCACCGTCGTTGGGCTGCATGACCCCTCCGCTGGTGTCAGGGTCACTACCCGAGACTACCCCGTTTTTAGGGCGCATAAAGTTCCTCATGTTTGGTGGTGGAAGCCTCGCACGCACAAGCAACCGAAAGAAGTGCATCCTGTTCCCTTGCACAAGTTGAACTCGGCAGTGGTTGTGGGGTCCCTGATACACCGGGCGCCAACAGCCCCGCCCGCAGCGCGCTGAAGAGCAGCAAAGACACGAGCATGCCCGGCCTTTAATATCACCGTCCTCGTTTTCCTGGCCGTTCTCGTCGCCCTCGTGGAGGCAGCGGGGACACCCGCAGCAAGTCTGCAGCTCGACGTGATCCACGTCGAATAGCTTGACACCACCAAACCTTTTCACCCAACCATCGGCGTCGTGTTGATGCTTTCTGGTGTCTTCGTCAAGGTTTGCCCACTCCTGACTTGCCGAGATGTTGTCGGGGTTCTCTACTTGGATGGAGCACCGGCCGATAGCCGCTCGCCATGACAATACCACGTTGTCGCTGTTGAGCTCAACGATGGATGGAGGAAGCAAGCTCTGCGAGGGAGAGGGGACATAAATCGGACCGATTCCGCCAAATTTCGATGTTCGTTCGCAGTCGGTCCACAGGTAGACTAAGGTTCACGCTCGAAACGAACTGTCTCGAGGAAGATTGACAACAAAGTTCGACGAAAAGACTCATATCATCAACGTAGCGTTGGTCATGCGTCTCCCTTGGGGGGTCAATTGATAAGTGGAGTCTACTGTTAACACAAGGTATGGTGCACTACAGTTCAAGCTTTCGTACTCGAAAATACGTGTCGTGTGCACCTTCGCACGCTGCGGATGATCGTTTGGCGGTGACATGCTCGGTGCTTTGTCCAGCATTTCAGTTCCGGTGGCACCTAGCGTCGTATGTCCAAAGGACCACCTTGCGTTTCGGCTGTGTGTGCGTTTGTGGACATCATCCGATGCTCAAGGACATGGTTGCATAGCACGAACCACCCTGATCATAAAGCACGGAGCGAGTCATGAGACAAGGTTATTGCGCCGCTCCCGTCTCCCGAACCGGCACATAGTCTATCCAGTGCGGGGAAACAAGATCCCGCAAGTATCATGTGTACCGCGTGCCAGCGTGCCAGACGCCAGACAGCTGCCATACTGCACCAAAGATCATACCTCAGGTGACCGGAACTTAGACGTGTGGATCTACGAAGTTAAGCAAGCCCACATGGAACAAATCCGGGTCAAAAATGGGTACGGGTTTCTGACGTCCACCCTGAGTGCATCCGTCATCGGGGACTTCGATGCGAGCTCGGAGAAAAGGTGGGTAGGCGACGACTGTTGCCTCACGGAGGGTACATGTACTGTAGTCTCGAGCTTTCGCATCGGCTCAATTCTCATCTATATACGGACTCGTCCATCCTATATGTATGCCCGTGCTAGTGCGTTCTTGAAACTCGCTATCTGTTAGCGTATACCTATGAACGCATACGACACGATGCCACGGGAAGAGGTCGGTGCTCACACCTCCTATTGACATGCGAGAGCCAGCGGCATTGATCATCATCACCGCCCATGTCATGCCGCACCGCCTATGTCCTATGTGAGTGCACCGCCTGCAGCACAGGAGGCTGCGTTGTAGACTACTAAGTACGTGTATCCTATGCCATAGTCCTCCAATTCCTTTGGAGCTGTAACAAGTTGTTTGAGTTCCTTACCTGGGTATCGTGATAAACTTGTGTGTGCATTGGTTAGGACAGGGAGGCAATGTCAAACACGCCAAACATAGTAGACGAACTACGCATGGCTGAACACGCACAACAATTCGCAGTATTCATTGCATCACGACGTTATGTACTTGGCGTCCGTGATTCCCGAGATCGTCGCCCAATTCGTCCGGTGTGCAATACCACAAACGAATCAATCGCGGAGTAGCAACGCAGAATGCATTGTAGGCGTTGATGTTCCCCGTCCCCCCTCAATCTGCTCTATGACTACTGCCTCCTTAAATGAACTTGCAGGAAGGCAGCCAACCGAGTTTTGAACCAAAAGTACGACACGGACGCCGCGTTCCAAATGTCGCAACTGCAAGGAAACCACCCGGTGCGCAAGGTCTTGCACATGCAAAAGTGCTATCCTGAGACAGTCTTCCGCCTCAACAGACAGGGCCGTACGCACAAACCGGACGCCGACCGCCCAATCAGCGGCAGATGGCATCGAAACCTAGCTCCCAACAACTGCAACACTTCCGTCGCCACACAACAGCGTCACCGGCGGCCACAATCGTCGCTCCAGGCAGGCCGTAGCGTCGATGGCGGGCTTGAACTGTCCGGAAACACAACTCGAAGACGAGGAGGGTGCGAATACCACTTCTGCCGTGACAAGATGGCGTATTACCGGGCCAAGGGAAGGTATGCAGTTGATTTCCGTTCTCTCCTCCACTCTTTACCCTTGAAAACTAATATTAAAAAGCACATTGACCACTAGATTACCGGTCGGCGGCGGTGAACTGGTAACCCAGTGGCCGTTGTGCTTCCAACAACAAACAAATACCCCCCAACAACAAGGAGCCGACCAAGCATCCAACTTGCGCGACTTTCTCTTCTTCACGCATGTAAGGTGCCACACGCTGACGTTTCTGTCTTGCCTTCCGCTGCCAGGGAAGCGGAGGTAGATGGCATCCTCACCGGAACGTCGCCTCTCGACAAAAGGCTACCCTTGTTTCCGGCGAAGGCGACGCATCAGCAGCTCCTGGGGCTGGTCCATCGGCCGACCCACCCGGACAAGCCAGCCCCGGCCGTGCCGAGGGAAAGGAAATGGCTCGGCGACAACGTCGGCTGGGAAGGTGAGACTGTGTATCTTCTTTCCGTGTTTTGCCGAAACTCGGTTTCAGGGTGCGGCAAAAACTGCCACACGCGGTCTGACGAAACGTGCAGGCTAATCAGCCAATCGATGAATCACTGTAACACCACGCGTGTATGCACGTGTAGCAGTCCCTCAGAACTGTTAGCATCACCCAGCAGATCGTGCGGTCAGGGTCTCAAGACCATGCGGTCAGACAGGTGTACAAGCAAGCACATTCCGTGTGGCAAATACCAAGGACGAGCAAGGAGGGGTAGCACGTGTGTGCCGTGACAACGAGCACAAGTGGAGCGCCTCCTCACAAGGAGGACCATCTAGTGGCTTAGGCATCCCGCGTCAATCAATACTCAGACTCGATCACGGAAAATCTGACAGAAACAAAACCAATGGGCTATTTGGCGGGGATATGCTGATGTTTGGTAGGGCAAGCACCTGAAAAGCAGTGGTGGGAGTGGTAGCGCCCGGCATCCAGGCTCCCCTAACACCTCCAAAAGATTTTAACGAACTCTGCCCACAGCCCCGCAGCTCTACTGTTTTCGAGCTTTTCCATCTTCCGCGCGTCATTTCTCCTTCGAAACTGCTACCGAACGCGGCAGGAAATCGAGGGATGGCCACTCCGCCAGCCGGTCGCAATGCCAAAGACGGGGAGGTTCATCCGTGGCCGTCGTCGCAGTATCCTCTTGTTCTTCCGACCGGTTGACAAAGCGACTATCTTACCCACTTGCGGTGTAATTTTTCCGGCCCCGGAGAGCGATCACTCTCGTCGCATCACGCCAGGTGTTGGAGAGGATTAGGGCTAGGATGCGAAATATAGCTTGCGGTGCCGCAGGCCGCACAAGATGAAGCAGCAGTGGAGGTGTACGCGTCGGCCCTACGTACGGTTTCTTGCTGGGGCAACTGAAGTCTGGAGGGCTAAAAGCCATTCCGCAACATCTCATTTCTTGGCAAGGTGACCACGGGTTCCGCTGCCTGTACATTCGAAATGGTTAACGCTTCCCGCTGACACGAAAGCTGCAATCACTACAATCGCGCAAATACACACACCACGTGCGTGGAACGGAACCAACTACAACGTTGGGCATCACAAACGCCAATTCTACACCCAACTCCGCCCAAAATTGTCACCAACCACGGCACCTGCTTCGCCGCCGGAACGCACTTGAGCATCCCCGCAACCCGCTCCACCCCCGGCGCAAAAAAAAAAAAACTATACTAACGCCAAGGGACTGGTTCCATCGACTCTGGCATCTATCGCTCCTGACAAAACAAAACACACGAAAATAGCTCCAAGGGGTCGACTCCATCGACGCCGACATGTATCGCCCCCGCCAAAAACCAAACAAAGCAAACAAACTCACAAACTCCAAGGGATCGATTCCAACGACGCCGAAATGTATCGCCCCCGCAAAACATCAAAAACAAGGACACTCTAGTGAGTCCAAGGGACCGATTCCATCGACGCCGACATGTATCGCCGGACTTCCGCGGGCCCGATCTTCAGACCGGGAGAGGGGCACGCCAGAGCTCGGGCCACTGCTTTCGAAATCGCCAGGAAATCTCTGGAGGAGGCATTTCGCTCCACTGTGGCCCTATACTTGTCTGACGCCTCTTCGTGCGCTGACACCAGCTCCGCACAAACGCGGGCCTGGAACAGTAAGGGCGGTGTATTGTTGTCGTCGTCGTCGTTGCGTTGTTTATTGCTATATTTAAATGAAAATCGCCTCGGCCTCTGCCCAGTGCCTTCTAACATCCATACCGTTTCAACTGGCTCGGACGTGTTCCGTGGTCATCACCTTTCAGCTACCAAAAACGGGTACATATTTCCAGAGAAACCACATGAGGGTATGGACTTGTCATGATTCGTGGTACTTTTTTTTTTTCATACTTTCGTTGTGGGGGGGAACATGTGTCGGCGCCGGCGCGAGTCGAGGTAGTGAAAACGAGGCGATCAGATCTGGACCTCGTATAGGTCATTCGGTGCCTGCTGCGACTAATAGATTTGCTGAACGAGTATTGGGGAAAGACCTAGGAATACCTAATATAAGTTCACGTTCACTTGGTCTTATCAAGGCTGGGCTGATTTACTCCTGTTACAACCAAGTGACCAGCACCACCGAGCGGCCGTCTTCAGGTTTCTCTGCCGAATTTTCGTGGTGGCTAACCAGAGCAGACCAACAGCATAAACCATTGTCTACCGTTGCCCCATGCACCAACACAAAAAGTCACCTTGAGATACAAGCACTCCCGCAGCCCGGCGAAGTCATGGCAACGCTTCAGCTTCGCGATCGCTCGGTCGAGGTTGAGCACCGCTCTTCTCAGCACCTCCTCTCGCCGCGCCCTCCTCGTCGCCGCCGGCGCCGCCGGCCCGCCCCCTGTCCCCTGCCCCCCCCCTCTCCCTTCGATCGTAACGCCTCCCTCGCCGCCTGCTCCTGGTACTGCCGTGGAAGACTGTCCGCCACCGCCGAGGGACACTTCTGCGATGTCGCACCTGGCCATCGCCAGCCAGGCCTCCCCCTGCGACTGCACGGGCGCGCTGGCCAGCAGCTGCCCCAGGCAGGCTTGAAGGAGGATGCGGGCACGTCGCGTCGAGCCCATGCGGAGGTGCACCTGCCGCGCGGAACGACGCCGTCGTAGATTGGGCGGGGCAAGGCAAAGAGGTGTCTAGAAGAGGGTAGGAGGTGGGGGCGGGGCAAGGCGTGTCTTGAGAGAGGGGGGACATTCCGCCGTGTTAAACAATGTTTCGCCCACCAGGTGCACAGGGTGCTTGAGCGGAGAGAGGGTTCTTCTCTCTCTCTCTCTGCTTGCCGCTCCGTGCTTCCAGTCGTATGGAAGACAAGATAACACAGCCCGGTGAAGACGTTAGGGATTCAAAAAAAAATGCCGACCACCTAGTGAGCTATTTGCGCGCGCGTGTGTGTACTATCTTACGCTAGGATAAAACAACCCGGTGAGAACTTTACGGATCCAAAACCACGTTACCAAGTGATTTGTTGTGTGAGTGTGGGTATCATCTCATGTCGACC